CCCATAGGGAGCTCCACCGAAGGCCCCAGTGGGGGTGTTCGCATGCGGTTCCCCCACCCAGGGCAGCGTTTCGTGGCCCCATAGGGAGCTCCACCGAAGGCCCCAGTGGGGGTGTTCGCATGCGGTTCCCCCACCCAGGGCAGCGTTTCGTAGCCCCATAGGGAGCTCCACCGAAGGCCCCAGTGGGGGTGTTCGCATGCGGTTCCCCCACCCAGGGCAGCGTTTCGTAGCCCCATAGGGAGCTCCACCGAAGGCCCCAGTGGGGGTGTTCGCATGCGGTTCCCCCACCCAGGGCAGCGTTTCGTGGCCCCATAGGGAGCTCCACCGAAGGCCCCAGTGGGGGTGTTCGCATGCGGTTCCCCCACCCAGGGCAGCGTTTCGTAGCCCCATAGGGAGCTCCACCGAAGCCCCAGTGGGGGTGTTCGCATGCGGTTCCCCCACCCAGGGCAGCGTTTCGTTGTGGGGGTGTTCGCATGCGGTTCCCCCACCCAGGGCAGCGTTTCGTGGCCCCATAGGGAGCTCCACCGAAGGCCCCAGTGGGGGTGTTCGCATGCGGTTCCCCCACCCAGGGCAGCGTTTCGTAGCCCCATAGGGAGCTCCACCGAAGGCCCCAGTGGGGGTGTTCGCATGCGGTTCCCCCACCCAGGGCAGCGTTTCGTGGCCCCATAGGGAGCTCCACCGAAGGCCCCAGTGGGGGTGTTCGCATGCGGTTCCCCCACCCAGGGCAGCGTTTCGTGGCCCCATAGGGAGCTCCACCGAAGGCCCCAGTGGGGGTGTTCGCCGGTTCCCCCACCCCAGCGTTTCGTGGCCCCAGCTAGTGGGGGTGTTCGCAGCTCCACCAGGCCCCAGCCCACCAGTTCGCATGCGGTTCAGGGCAGCGTTTCGTGGCCCCATAGGGAGCTCCACCGAAGGCCCCAGTGGGGGTGTTCGCATGCGGTTCCCCCACCCAGGGCAGCGTTTCGTGGCCCCATAGGGAGCTCCACCGAAGGCCCCAGTGGGGGTGTTCGCATGCGGTTCCCCCACCCAGGGCAGCGTTTCGTGGCCCCATAGGGAGCTCCACCGAAGGCCCCAGTGGCTGTTCGCATGCGGTTCCCCCACCCAGGGCAGCGTTTCGTGGCCCCATGGGGAGCTCCACCGAAGGCGCCCCGTGGCGCAGTCCGCATGCGGTTCCCCCATCGCAGGCAGCGCTTCGTGGCCCCATATGGAGCCCCACCGAAAGCGGCACCCACAACGCGTTACCAACAATTGCTTATGGTTGGGTCTTTCGCCAGGATAATTGGTTCCCAACCATCCTGTGGTGTTGGGTCCTCGTTTCGAAGAGACGGTCCCCGCGTTCCTCTCTCCTCCTCCTCCTCCCTCTCATCCCTCCTCGGCACCCCCTCACTTCGGCATACTCCTCACACGTTTTTGTTGCCCCAGAGGGGGCTCCACCGAAGGTCCCAATAGCTGCGTTCGCATGACACCACCGCACCCATTTCGGCACACCCCTGACACGTTTCGTGGCCCCAAAAGGAGCTCCACCGAAGGCCCCAGCGGCTGCGCTCGCATGTCACCACCGCGCCCAGTGCGGCACACCCCTCACACGTTCCGTGGCCTCATAGGGAGCCCCACCGAAGACCCCAGCGGCAGGGTTCACATGCGGTTCCCCGCCGATTTCGGCACACCCCTCACACGTTTCGTGGCCCCATAGGGAGCTCCACAGAAAGCCCCAACAGCTGCGCTCGCATGACACCACCGCACCCGTGCCGGCACACCCCTCACACGCTCCGTTGCCCCAAAGGGAGCCCCACCGACGGTCCCAGTGGGGATGCCCTCATGCGTCCCCCCAACTCATTGCGGCACACCCCTCACACGTTCCGTGGCCTCCTAGGGAGCTCCACCGAAGGCTTCAGTGGCTGCGTTCGCATGACACCACCGCACCCATTGCGGCACACCCCTCACATTTGTGGCCCCACAAGGAGCTCCACCGAAAGCCCCAGTGGCTGCGCTCGCATGGTACACCGCACCGGCCCATGCCGGCACACCCCTCACACGCTTCGTGGCCCCAAAGGGAGCTCCACCGAAGGCTCCTGTGGCTGCGCTCGCATAGCGCCACCGCGCCTATGCTGGCACACCCCTCACACGTTTCGTGCCCCAGGAGCTCCACCGAAGACGATACCAACAACTACGTCACTCACAACTGGATATGGTTAGGTCCTTCGCCACTATCATGTTTGTCTTGGGGGCTGTGATGGGGGGTTGTCCTGCGGGGCCGTGTTTGAGGCTGTGCTGGAGTTGTGATGCGGGTTGCGCATGGGGGTGTGCTGGGGGGCTGTGTTGGGGGTTTGTTCTGGGTCGAAATGCTCGAGCGTGTTGATAGGTGGGGGGCTGGGGGCGGTGCGGGGGGGGGGGCGCTGGGTGGTCGTGCTGGAGGGTTGTGTTGGGGGGCCTTGCTGGGGGATTGTGCTGGGGTTTCGCCTGGGGGTTGTACTGGGGGCTGTGCTGAGGGGTTCCGCTGGGGGGGGGGGGCGCTGGGGGGTTGTGCTGGGGCGTTGTGCTGAGGGGTTGTACTGGGGGGTTGTGCTAAAAGGCTGTGCTGGGGGCTTGTGCTGGGTGTTGTGCTGGGGTTGTGTTGGGGGGTAGTTATGGTGGGTCGCGTTTGCGAAAAGGGGTTATGCTGAGGGGGGTTGGGGCCATTGCTGGAGGGTTATGCTGGGGGTGGCGGGGGCTTGTGTTGGAGGGCAACGCAGCCACCAGCACACCCCCCAACACAAATCCCAGCACAATCCCAAGCGCTGCCCTGGTCGCAACCCCCACCGCAACCCCTCAGCATCAGCTCCAGCACGACCCCCCAGCGCAAGCCCCCAGCGTAAACACCAGCACGACCACGAGCACAACCACCAACACAACCACGAGCGCACCCACCAGCGCAACAACCAGCACAACGACAAACACAATCATCAGAACAACCACCAGCACAACTGCAAGCGCACTCACCAGCACAAGCACCAACACAACCGCCAGCACAATCACCTTCACAACCACAAGCGCAGCCGCAGTCTGCCATTCAGCGTCGATGCTCTATGGTCATGCTCTGTGGAGGCTGCCCAATGCTTGCCCTGCGTGTCGCAGTCGGTTGTTCATGGTCGGCGCTGTGGCCGGCCCCACTCGGTGGTTTGTGGATGGCGCCCCGATGGAGGTGAGACCTGGTTGGTTTCCTGTGGAACGTCCCGCGCGGTGCCATACAGTGCGCGCCCTAGTTGTACCCTGGCGTTGTTGCCCTGCGTTTGGCTCCTTGCGGTCTGCGAGGTTGGTCTCCCATGGTGTCGCATCACTGGCGCACCTTCATTTTGCAGACTGCATACGCTGCACCACGTCGCTTGCACATCGGGAGCGCTAGAACCTGTTGTTTCTGGCCCGCGCGCTGGCATGTTTTTCCCACATGCCACCTGCTCAGACTCAATATGTTTCGATATGGGCTGAAGACATCTCCGACAGGGTCGCTGGCCCTGGGTGAACGCATGAAAAGCGCCCCCCGCCCCCCACATGAAGAACCTTAAACCAATTCGACCGTCAGACGACGTGTGAACTGCAGGCGCAAACCGTTCGACGGTCAGCCAACGACAACGCTGTGCAATTCCATGCGAACAGCGCGCTGCTGCTATGTCAATCGGCGTTTGAGCTTGGCGATGTTCGTGCTGACAAGCGGTCAATGCCCAATGGCATTCTGGATATTCGCGCGCTCGTGCCCCAGCGAAACCCAGGGGGCGCGTCGCCCCTTTTGGCGGCGCTGGCAAGTCACCCGGACGGCGCGTGGGGCCCAGCACGCACGGGCGCGCATCGAAACGTTCAGAGCCACCTGAGAAAATTGCTACCAGGCAAAAAATAGACACGAAACCCAATATATGACTACCTACCAGACCACCCCAACCCAACCGGAAGGCCCGAGTTTGACCCGAATTTCGGGTTGGGGGGGATACGGGCTCTATGTGATGTTTCAACGTTCCCCGACCCCCCCCCCCTGGAAATGGAGGGCAGATTGAGGCCTTCGGGTTGGGTTGGGGTGGTTTGGTGGGTGGTGCATATAGAATCGATATATTGGGAAGGCCTGCCCCTCTCACCAGCTCCCCCAGGCGCGCCGCCGAAAGACACCCGCGGGCCCTTCGGATTCGGCCGCGAGGGAACGCCCAGACTGCCAGAGGAGGCCACAGAGGGCCCACAAGAGAGGGTCAAAAAAGCCCCCATGAGGGCCCCGTCCCAAGGCAGGCGCGGGCGTTCGGTCACACGAGAATCCAAGCCACACCCTCGAACACCCCAGAACACTCGCTCACTGGGACGTTCCCGTGCGAGCCGCCGCCGGGGGGGGGGGGCGGGGGGCGCCGTGATTCCCGATCGCGCGCTCATCCTTTGCTGCCTTTTGCGCTGGCAGTGCCGGTGTGCAGTGCTCCCGCTTCCTGCTTCCAGGGCCCCTCGCTTCCTTCTTTCGCCAATCGGAGCTCCTGCTTCCACCTCCTCTCCATTTCCTCACTCCCACTGTTACCAAATGGTCCACTGTTCCTACTGCTTGTCCTCCGCAATTCGGGATCCACGATTTCAGCACCTCTCACATCCTTGCTCCACCTGTCAGCAGTCCTCTTTCTTCTCCTCCTCCTCCTCCTCCTCCTCCTCATCCTCCGCCTACGCCTTGTAACGTTCATATCTCTTTCGCGTGATCACCCGTGCCCCCCCCCGTCAGCCTCCCGCTCCTCCTCTGCCATCACCGCTTCCCTGCTCCTTGCCGACTTGCGACTCCTGGGGCCGTCGGGATGGCGTGCGCCTCTGGAAGTCTCGCGGCCCTCATCCTCGACGATCGCCTCGTTTTCCTCCACCTCCCTGCCCCTCCTCCCCCCCTCACCCTCCCTCGGCCTCCCTCTCCCACCTCCTCCTGCCGGATGTCGGAGACAGGGTGCAGCAAGCGCGCTAACGCAAGGCAATATCAGTCGGAGATGACCGCACAGTGCCAGCGCAGAAACGGGGCAGGCCTTTCTCAGGCAGCTGAACAGCCGCTCGAAAAACAACTTCAACCGCCTGAAGGGCTCATGCCCCTTCCTGGCGCGCCACCGAGGAAGCATCGGACCAGCATCACCCTACACGTGAACAGACCCGTAAAACAAAGTGTGCACACAGGTGCAGACATATACATACACATATATCTATATATATATATATCTATATATATATATATATCATGCATAGATGTTGACTATAGTAGATGCGTGTGTGTGTGTGTGAATGTGCGTGAGTAGTCCGATGAGCACTGCGGCCCGCGACGATCCGAACATCCCTAAACTGCCCTAAGTAGAGCAGATCGCCATGCTGCTAGGTGCACGAGCCAGTCCCTTCTGTCAGCTTGCCCTGCTGTAAACTTCGACACGTCCGCGCTACACAACCAGTCGAACGGTCGTCACGCGCCCTGTAACAAGAAGCAAATCGTGTCAAGTTGGGCCGGGGGCGTCCTGTCAACATTGCAGAGCCACTGCAGGGCGGAAATCTTCCCAGCGGCACTTAACGATTCCGTCTCTGACATCTCTCTAACTCTCGCACTCGCTCTCTCTGTCTCTCTCTCTCTTTCTCTCTCTCTCTTTCTCTCTCCCTCTCTCTCTCTCTCTCTCTCCCTCTCTCTTTATACATATATACACACACGTAGGTACATAGACATGGACTGATTATCTCTCTCTCTCTCTCTATCGCTCTCCCTGTATTCATACTTATTTACCTGTACAAACATATATATACATGAACAAACTAGATGTGTTATATGCACTGACATAGTATACATACATACGTGTCCACCACCGTGCCCTGAGGCACGAGCCGAAGTGTCCTCGGGTCCCTAGTAACTCCTCGTCCCTAATCTTAAATCGGGCCTGTCCCCCTACAGTCGGATTTTCAACGAAAAATAATAATAAAAAAAGTACACCCAAAAAAATCAAACAATAATCAACAAATAGTCTGAGGACTATTTTTGGGGCATGCTTTTGCCTTTTTGGGGCATGTTTAAGGTATGTTGTATTTTTCTGCAAAAAAACATGTAGGGGGACACGCCCGACATAATCCTATTCCTGGATGAATGGAACATTCCAGGGCCCGGACTTCAAACTGGCGGACTCCACATGGCTTCCCGTGCGCCCGGAGGGTGGCCTCGCATGACTCCCTCGAGGCCACGGAGGGGCCCGAGCCTGGCCAGGAGAGTCCGCCGGCGAAGCCTACAGAATTAGGGGAACGAATAATTTGTTTTGGAGGGAGGAAGAAGATGGGAGCGGACCCCACGACAGAACACCACACCAAACCCATTAGGGGAACGAAGAATGGCCTAAACATCAAAACTCGGAGGTCCGCGCGGAATTCTCGGATCCGCGCTGGACCCCCCTGCGGGCAGTACTTATGTCCATATCCAGAGCGCTGTGGACTTTTTGGGAAGAGGTGCCGCAACGCCGAGGCGCACTGGACAAGGATAGAAATAAGCCTCTCGGGGCCAGATCGTTATCCATATCCAGTGCGTCTACGGTTTCTGGGGAGGAGAGCCCAAGAATCCAAGACGCACTGGATGTGGATATACTAGGGCTCCCAACTTCGCGCTTCGCGCTCCGCGAAGCGCGAATAACTTCGCGCTCTCGCGCCGCCCCCCAAGGGGGAGAATAGGAGGGCGAGGAGGAGGGGGAGGAGAAACGAGGACCGCGAAGCGCGAAGCGCGAATAACTTCGCGCCCTCGAGGGAGCCCTTGTTTATGTCATTCTTCGTTCCCCTAACCATGGGTCTAAGACAACCCCGGAGCCGCCGAACGATAGCTCCGAGGCGCCCGAGCACGGCCTCAAGACGGCCCAGAGATGCCCCAGAGATGCCCCAGGAGGACGCCACGGAGGCCCCCAAGGCAGAGCCCCCAGAGGCCAAGGCCAAGGCTTGCCCTTGAGGATCTCGAAGGATACTGGCGTCCTCGCCTTTTCTTGCCTGCCGACGTTCCAAAGCGGCCCCCGAGAGAGCCCCCAGACGTCTAGACCATCACACACAGCCCAAGAGGGCCTCGAGCGAGTCCCAAGAGAGGCCCCAGAAGGGGGAGCACGAACGGACATTTCGAGCTATCCGCCCAATAGGACCTCCGAGACAGCCAGCAGGCGCCAAATACCCGTCAATACCACATTTAGGAACAATTGAATTTAGAGTTAAACAATATTTAAAATGGTCATCTGTAAACAAGCGAACATTAAATGTACATGAAACCTATGATCAACAACCAAGGCACGGTGGCAGGATGGGCCAAAGGCCGAAACAAAAACACATCTCTTTACATAACCGTGTCCTCTTGTTTGGTCACTCACCTTCTTATGCGATTGCCCAAGCCCCCTCTTCTCCACTGTGCTTGACATCGCCTTCGTCCTGAATCGCCATGTTCCTTGCCTGGTATCTCCGGCAGAGCGGACAGAACGAGGCGTGAAGGAGTGAAGATGGGACCAAGCGCGCAAACTGAAGGGGCCCTGGGACACACAAATAAATACACAATTAAAAATATTCCCCATATTTTCCCATATTTTCGGGGTTTCTGTCTTCCCCCCCACTTCCCATATTTTCCCACATGTTCTGGGGAATCGAGGATTAATTGTGTCTGCGTGTTTCTTCCTCTCCTGACAAACGCAGGCGCGCGAGAGCACACGTCGACTGAACAGAACCAGTTCCGAGACTGTGCCTTGTCGGGCGGACCGCTGCATCATGCCAAGCATGCGCAGGGGCCGATCTCCAACCCGCTGACCTCCGCTTTCAACAGATTGCATGGTTGAAGAGGGCCTGGGACACACAAATAAGTACACACAAATAAAAGAATTCCCCATACTTTCTCATATGTTATGATTTTTGTCTTCCCCCCTACTTCCCATATTTTCCCATATTTTCTAGGGAATCGACGATTTAATTGTGTCTGTGTGTTTCTTTCCCTCCTGAATGGTGTGGGAGGAAAACACCCCTCCCGCCTCACAACGGCAGGGCTGGACCTGAACGTTGTGTGTTCGTTCTGTGTTCCTGCTGCTCTACCTGTTTTCCTGTAGCGCCTTGCCGAAACGAAAAACGAAGCACTGCCGAATTCCAGCAAAACAGCGTTTAGGCCCAGCCCTGCACAGCGGGTTTCACCTTGCGGCCGAAGGGGGCTCATAAAGACGTAACCCGAGATCATGCTCAGCGCCCCTCAGACGGGGACTCCACTGACGGGCACCTTGGCCAGTGGCCCAGCGAACCCAGCCCCTCCCCATGTGGGCAACGCTGCACTGCCCGAAAAAGGCCCGAAAGTGGCAACGTTCGGCGAAATTTCAAAGTACCCGTTAGTAAGTTAAAACAGGGCTAAGATCGGGATAAATCGCTCCAGAGCGTTCCGGAGCGCTCTCAGAGCGTTCCGGAACGCTCTGGAGCGGCCGCGGCGCCCAATACATCCTCCAAACCCGCGGATTCTCAGAGATTTCGAGTTATCCCGATCCGATTTTGTCCCGATCTTCGCGTCGTTTAAGAAGTACCCGTTACGGTGCCGTTGACGTGCGTGGCCACGCGTGCAGGCCGGGCGGGGCAGGCAAGGGGTGAGGGGGGCGAGACGGGGGCGAACAGGAGCACCCAAGGAGGAGGTGCTCCCGCGAGGCGGCGTGCGAGTCTGTGTGTCTCAAGCACGTTCGTACTTCTTCACGATTCGCGTACAGTCGGGGCGTTGACCTAAGGAACCCTAAATAAGGAACGGGGCCCCTTCCTCCCATAAGTTGAGCTTCGATTTCCCATGGAAAACCTCAGGAAAACAGAAGGCAAACTGCAGAACAATCAAGGAACACCGAGCCCCTCCCCAACGAAAAGGGTTCCTTCTTCAGGGCCCCGACTGTACGGTGGAGGTTTTAGATAAGGATACTTTCGATGAGGAACCCAGGGCCTCGCGACCGATGGGCGGCCAGACGTCGGACACCCACCTCGCCTGGAAACAATGATGGATGCGCCAGGGTCTGGGCCCCAGGGAGACGTTCCTTATCCAATGCCGCCGCCGTGCCCTCACCAGTCCATTCCGAAACCCTGCTCATGAAAGCGGACTGGAAAGGGAACGAAGGGACACGTGTAGTGAAATAGAGAGGGCAGCCAGGGTAAACAGAGAGATCTCTCGAGCAGGAGGGTGGCCTTGGAGAGCCTTTTCGGGCCATCCCCGGGGCCCGCGTGCGGGCGAGGGAAGGAGGAGGAAGAGGAAGACAGCAACGACTGCGACGACGAAACATGACGACGAGGACGAGGAGGACAAAGAAAAGGAAGACGATGAGGGCAAAAACGAGGACGAGGACGAGGAGGAGAAGGAGTACACCGAGGACGAGGACGGAACCTCAAACCGCCTCATGGAGCCCTCTCGGGGCTCTGTTGAAGGATCTCGGGGTCCTCTTGGGGCGCTTTTGGGTGGTCTTGGCGCACTCTTTGAGCTCTCTTGGGAGCATCTTGGGAGCCCTGAAGGGCTTCCTGGGGAGGGCGTCGGTGAAAAGAGAGGGGATCAACGATTGGTCCCTTCTTTAGGGCCCTCGAAATCGCCCCTTGGGGCCCTCTTGGGGCGATCTTGGGCACTCTTGGGGCCGTCTTTCGGGCCGTACTTGGGGCCTCTGGCGTCCATCTTGGGGCTCTGTTGGGCCATCTTGGGGCCAATTGGAAGCCTCAAAAGCGCATCGGACGCGAAACGGCGAAAAAGCAAAACACATTGACGGTCAAAAAATGGATGAAGGAATTGGACCTCCGAGGAAGGTCTTGAAAGGGCTCCGCAAGCACTTGGAGCCATCTTCCGGCCCTCGTCGGGCATCTTGAAAGCATGTCGGAAACTGTCCTGAACCATATTCGGCTATCTTGAGCCGCCTTGGAGGCCACCTTGGAGCATACGAGGCGGTCTTGGAGCCGTCTTGGGCGAAGCAAGACCGCCTGACACATCGCGACACCCCCCAGAAGAAAACAGGCAGGGGAGGGGAAGGGTACCCCTCCCGGAAGGGAAGAAGATTCCTGGAAGAGGGACGAGAAGACTCGCTAGAGACCACCTTCGCCCGAAGAGCCGGCAGGAGAACGCGTGCGGGCTCAGACACGACTGTTTCTGCACGTGCTGGAGCGATCGACCGAATCGGCCCTGGGCTTGACTCGACCGAAACCTAGAGAGATCTAGGGGAACAAAAAGTGACGTAAACTTAAAAACTCAGAGGTCCGCGCGGATTTCTCGGATCGGCGCTGGACCCCCCTCCCTGGCGCGCGGAGCGCGCCAGGGGCGGCGCCAGAGGCGCCGCCGGGGGGCCCCAGCGCCGATCCGAGAAATCCGCGCGGACCTCCGAGTTATCATGTTTATGTCATCGCTCGTTCCCCTATCTTTGGACCCGAGGAGGAGGAGGAGGAGGAGGAGGAGGAGGAGGAGGAGGAGGAGGAGGAGGAGGGCCCCTTTTTGCCACTTTTTGCTTCCTGAGATCGTCCAGCAGGCTCGGGCCCCGGGTGTCCGCTGTCTGGGTGCCCTCGGGCAGCCGAGGACCGACGCGGCGCTCGGACGGGGGTCATGGAGCGGCCAAGAGGGGGGCGTCCAAGAGGGGGGGGTGCAAATCATGACCAGCGGCATGTGCGCGGCCCAGCGAGGGGGACAGGGACGTAATTAATGAAATAAGAAGAGGCGCCATGAAATCTTGGGAAATGTCATGACCCCCGCCATGAGATCCCCTCCCCCTAGTCATCCCCCCCTCTTTTCCGCCCCCGGGGGGGGGAAGAGGCGGAGGATGACAGGAGTACAGCGGAGGCCAGTCCACAAGGAACCTTCCACCAGAAACCCAACCCTGAGACCCCAGGAAAACCATGGATCTGGGGTGCCCGAACATCACGCTTTCCGTGGAAGAAAACATCGAAGCCCAAGAAACCCAAGGCACCCTCGAGGCAAGCAGGGTGTCTCTTGGCATGGGTCCCCACTGTAGACCAGGATGCATCTGCAACGATACCATACGCCCTCCGGTCTCAAGTGTATCATTTCACTGCAGGAAGTGCCCCGCTGAACGGCGAGCGCCACATGGCATCCTACTCAACGCGAGAGCATCGTTTTGAAAAGGAACCACCCTCAATCCTTCTAGCTAGAAAGATCGGCAAGAGGCAAAACTATCAAAACAAAGATAAACAACAAGAATAACCCCGTGTTGAAACGGAACCGCCCTCCATCCGCGTCAGCGATGCACAACGTTTGTTCGCGGCTCAAGAGGAGACGAGACGTCTCGAGCAAAAGTTCCATTACGAAAAGGGATCCTTCGTCGCCCAAGATGGCTCCAAAAGGGCCTCCTCTTCTCCAAGATTGCCCCCAGGGCGGCTCAAGACAGCCAACCGTGGCTCAAGACAGCTTGCGACATGCCCACGCAAGGCCCGACGAGGGGCACGAGACGGTTTTGAGTGGTGTCGGAGCGAGCATAGGACCCCCCCAAGAGGCCCAAATCCTTCAAAAACCAACTGAGCATCAATCATTGTTCCTGTCTCGCCTGGAACAGTGCCCAAGACCGCCCCAAGAGGCCCAAATCCTTCAACAACCAACTGAGCATCAATCATTGTTCCTTTCTCGCCTGGAACAGTGCCCAAGACCGCCCCAAGAGGCCAAAATCCTTCAACAAAAACAAAAACGAACATCAGTCCTTATTCCCTTCTCGCCTTGAAAAGTGCCCAAGACCGCCCCGGGAACACCCCCAGAGGGCTCCCGAGGGGCGAGTTCGAGGACCCCAGACGAGGTGCTCAATCCTTAGGACCCCGTCTCCCTTTACCGACGCCCTCCACGACGCCCCCTAAGAGGCCCTCCAAAAAGGGCCCCAAGAGGGGACCAAGAGGGAACCCGCAAGTAACCCCGGCAACTGGTGAGAAACTGTGAACACGAGAGAACCACTTGCCCAGGCGCGTGGCGCCGAGATGAGAACCACATTCGACAACCAGCCCCATCTAGCCGTCGGGATCTTGATATACGAATGCGAGCGGCACGAAAACGATAATCACATGTTGAAAACAATTGTCCCGTCACCCGTGCAACTGGTAAATAGTTCAAAACGACTGTGCGCAACGTGAAAACGAGAAGCACGCTATGAAAACCATGAGCCGTCGGTCCGTGTAGCATCTTGCAAAGGTCAAGCTTCATGGCCATACACGGCGAGAAAATATCAAGCAGAACGCTTGGGCCGCTTGACCGACACATGCAATGGCGCGACGAGCAGGAGTTGAACCGTGAACACAAGGATGAAAGATGGATAAGAGGGCTCCCTCACCCTCCCCCACCTCCCAGCAATGACTCAATCTTTTCTACTCCGTCCTCACCCTCCTCTCCTGCTGCGACTGCTGCTAGTGCTCCTCGTGCTCCTCCTCATCCTCTGCCCCTCCTCCCTCCCGGTGTGTCCCAGTAATTCATCCTCTGTCCTCCTCGTCCCCCTCCTCGTCCTTCTCCTCCGTCATCCCCCTCTCCTCCGTCTCCTCCTGCTTCCTGCTCCCTGGCCCTCTGCTTTTCCCGTCCACTCCGTCCTCCTTCTCCTCCCCCTGAGGCAACGAGGCAATGACGGCAATTGAGTTCTCCGAACGTTGCCGCTTTCCTCCGATCCTCCTCCTCAACATCCAAAATTATCCTCACCCTCCTCCTCCTCCTCCTCCCAGCAATGACTCAATCCTTTCTACTCCGTCCTCACCCTCCTCTCCTGCTGCGACTGCTGCTGGTGCTCCTCGTGCTCCTCCTCATCCTCTGCCCCTCCTCCCTCCCGGTGTGTCCCAGTAATTCATCCTCTGTCCTCCTCGTCCCCCTCCTCGTCCTTCTCCTCCGTCATCCCCCTCTCCTCCGTCTCCTCCTGCTTCCTGCTCCCTGGCCCTCTGCTTTTCCCGTCCCCTCCGTCCTCCTTCTCCTCCCCCTGAGGCAACGAGGCAATGACATCAATTGAGTTCTCCGAACGTTGCCGCTTTCCTCCGATCCTCGTCCTCAACATCCATGTTTATCCTCAACCTCCTCCTCCTCCTCCTCCTCCTGCTCCTCCTCCTGCCTCCTCTCTCATCCGCCTCCCCCCTCCTCCTCCCCTCCTCCTCCTCCCTCCTCCTCCTCCTCCTCCTCCTCCTCCTCCTCCTCCTCCTCCTCCCTCCTCCTCCTCCTCCTCCTCCCCTCCTCCTCCTCCTCCTCCTCCTCCTCCTCCTCCTCCCTCCTCCTCCTCCTCCTCCCCCTCCTCCTCCTCCTCCCTCCTCCCTCCTCTCCTCCTCCTCCTCCTCCTCCTCCTCCTCCTCCTCCTCCTCCTCCTCCTCCTCCTCCTCCTCCTCCTCCTCCCCCTCCTCCTCCTCCTCCTCCTCCCCCTCCCCTCCCCCTCCCCCTTCCCTCCCTCCCTCATTCATCGCCCTCCAGTGCCCTCTTCGCCCCAGGCCCTGCCCCCCCCCCCAGGGCCGACACGGCGCCGTCGAAGGTGCCCGGCCGGAAGCGTGGTCCCTGCGGCGGCCGTTTCGGTCGCGCTCCCGGGCGGTTGCACGGGAAGGCGCCGCTCGCGCGTGGGGGGCAGGCCCGGTCTTGGCGGCGAAGAGGGGGGATGGAGCGGAGAGGGGTGGGGGGAGGATAGGGAGAAGAAGGAACGGACGGGACGGGGGAGGGAGGGACGGGGGAGGGATGACGGAGGGAAGACAGGGGAGGGGAGGGGCGGGGAGAGAGGTGATGAGATGAGAGCGATCGCGAAGCGAGGAGGGGCGGGAGGAGGAAGAATGGAGAGAGGGAGGGGGGGGAGGGAGGGGGGGGGGATGGAAGAAAAAGAGGAGAGAGGCGCGGAGGGAAGGGAGGGGGGGGAGGGAGGGGGGAGGAGGAGAGGAGAGGGGGGGAATGGCAAGCTAGGTGCGATCGCGCCATTTCTGGCGCCCTACCCCTCCCCTCCACCCCTTCCAATTGCGCTGTTGTTGTTCCTTGTCAGCGGGCGTGTGTCATAGTCGACCTGGAACTCCGAAGAAGACCCCAACGATTTTATGCGCAGTCGGGAAACAAGATAACATGTAGGACATGTGCAACCTGGGGAACCTCTGTGGCCTGTGGGGCCTGCAAAAACTGCGACACATACAAGGACATGTGGCACCTGTGGGACCTGTGGGACGTGTGGGAGCTGTGGGACCTGTGCGACCTGTGATGATGATGCTGATAATAATGATGATGATGACCTGTGAAACCTGATTTCCGCCACTGTTTGGGGGAACAGCTTGTACCAGCGTCCTCGCAATCACGTCAGGGGCAATATAAGTAATGATCCCGCAATCTGGATGTCGGAGAACGGACGCAAGCTTCCGAAAATCAATATGGGAGAATCGGCGGCGCGAGGGGGTGGCAGGGGGGTGGGGGGAGGGCATCTTGAAAGCCAAGGTGTTTCTCAGAAGATCCTGATGGCGGGCTCCTAGGAAGCCCAATCCAAACAGCCCCCCCCTTTCCCACTGCCCCCTTCAGCGCGCCGCCGAGAGGAGGGGGGAGGGAGTTTTCTTCGGTCTCTCGGGGGGCGGCCCGTCCGGGCCATCAGAGCCCTCCTCATCCGACTCGGCCGTGGACGATGAGGAGGAGGAGGACGTCGACGATGCGCCATCGGAACCATCAGAACCATCCTCATCCGACTTGGCCGCTGGCAGCTGGCGAGGCGCCTCCTGCCGGCGAGGGCCGCCCAAACGACGAGGAAACGGCGAATGGAGCTGCCGACGAGGGGCCTCAGCGCCCAACAGCGCTGCCTCGCATCGGCGCCGTTGCACATCCAGCCGGCTTCGAAACTCCTGCAGTTTCTCGTCGCTCACGTCCTTGGGCATGGACGCCCACTTTCTATCCTTGAGCGCCTTCTGGTGTTATGCTCTGTCTTTGTACTGCGGAGCTTGCACGGCCCAAAAATGCAATCGCATCCGCGCCAATTCCTCCAGCCTTTTATCCTCTGTCTTGACCGTGCGCGTGCGAGTGCATTGCTGTTGGCGTCGTGGAGCGGGCAGGTCATCTGCCAGGAAGGGAATTTCGATTTATCCTTGGGCGCTTTGTATGCCATCCGGGATGGGCTCTACATGTAGGACGGAGGCCCCAGCGGACCACATCGATGTTTCTTGCGCCGTTTCGGTCTGCCCTTGTCGGGCAAGCCGCCAACCCCAGCAACCGCGGTGTCGCCGTCGCCGTCGCCAGGGTATGGCGGCGGCGGTAGCGGCGGCGGGGGCGGGTTGTCGTTGTTGCCCTCGTCGCCGTCGCCGCCTTGAGACCCCGAATGCGCACCCAGCGCGCCGTCGGACTCGGGATGCCCGTCGTTCTCGGACGACGAGGGGTCGCACTCTTGCAACGGAGGCAGGTGTTTCAAGGGGCACAAGTGCAACCGAACGCTTCGCTGAAACGTCGCCCTTGGGTTGTGGGGCGAGCAGTGGAAGCCCCCCCTCCCCCCCCCCCGCCTTCCTCCTCCTCCTCGTCCTCCTCTTCCTCCCCCCCTTCCTCCCTGCCCCCCCCCCATCCCTCCCCCATCCTCCTGGGCGTGCCGGGTTCGACGCCCAGGTCTCCAGGGCGGGCTGATCCCCCAACCCGCGCATCAGCTCGTCCAACAAATACACGCTGTCAATGCTCTCCAAGGCGCTCTTGCGAATCCGCTTCTGCTTCCTCTTCGCGCGCTCCTCGGCGCGCTGCGCTAATGCCTTGTCCATCAGCGCGTCGCAAACGCAGCCCTTCGCGAAGTGGGGCACGCTGTCCGCGTAGTCAATGAGTGGCGCGGCAGCAAGCGCCAGTAAATAGTTGCGTTTGAAGGTTGCAGAACCCGACGTTCTGACGTACAACGCTTTGGAGGAATCAGGGCCCGGTTCGCACGCAGCGAGCGTCGAAGCTCGCGCTTTGGGCTCCAATTTCTCAACCACCCATCCAGACCGGTGTAAATACACCAAAAGCCCCCATTCTCCGAGGCTTTTGTGGGAGCACCGTCGGGAAGCCCCACGCATATGTACTTGCGCACCTCGCCGTCCAAGGGGTGGCTACGCAGTATGAAATCGCGACCTTTTTCCGAAGGGTGCAGGGGAGGTCCAAGGCACTGGTGCGCAACCCACGGCGGGGAAGCGCCCCGAGGGATTTGTGCGCCGCCGTGCCCGCGGCCGCGACAACGCACGAATTGTCGCCGTTAAGCGACGGCCACGGAAATCTCTCGGCTCGGAATGCGAACCCTGCGAACAACGGTTGGGAAACAACGAAAACCTACGCGACAGAACCGAAACGGGCGGCGCCGCACCCCGAACAATCAAGTCGAATATCACGGACAAGTGGCCAATGATACCGCGCCGTGGCGCCTTCATGGCGCGTCATGCCGCGCCATGGCGCCCTCATGGCGCCGTCGTGGCCCTTCCTGGCGCTTCATGGCGCCTTCATGACGCGCCATGGCGCCACCCGCGTAGACTACCTGGCGTTCGATCGCTCCTTTCGCGCCGATGGATGCACATCTGCACCTAGCTCCACTAATCTGGTCACACTGAAAGCGTGCTCTGCCGGCGGGAAAAAAACCTACATGCCTAGGGAGAGGTGACACGCAGCTAATGAATGCTCGTCCTGCCTGGGGCCCGCCGCCACCGCGCCTGGGGGCGAAATCGAACACCGAAGTCGGCTTTCGATATCGCCCCCAAGCCGCGCGCATGCCCTGCCGGTGGGAGAAACCTACTACTGTGCCACCACAACACACGACGCCATGGCGGAAACGAGGCCGAAACACTGAACATCCATAAAATTCGCGTCTTGACCCGGTACATACACCGAGTAAGCGCTATAGTTTCGAATTGCGAAGCCGCGCCGCGCGCGTGCTGTGCCGGTGGGAGAAACGCACTACTGTGCTACGACAACACACGACGCCACAGCGGAAACGAGGCCGAAACACGGAACATCCATAAAATTCGCGTCTTGACCCCGTACACGCACCGAGTAAGCAGGCGCTATAACTTCGAATTGTGAAGCCACGCCGCGCGCGTGCTCTGCGGGTGGGAGAAACGCACAATTGCGCTACCGCCACACACGACGCCACGGCGGAAACGAGGCCGAAACGCGGAACATCCATAAAAGTCGCGCCTTCACCCCGTACATGCACAGAGTAGGCGCTACAACTTCGAATTGTGAAGCCGCGCCGCGCGCGTGCTCTGCCGGCGGGAGAAACGCACTACTGCGCGGAAACGAAGCCGAAACACGGAGCATCAACAAAAATGCATTGACCCCGTACATACACCGATTGATGTCTTAAGCGCTTAACCCGAACGAGTTCGGTGTACCACGCGGGGCGCGCGAAACCCCTGAGGCGCACGTCACTTTGGATGGCGCACTCAAGGGGCCTCGCGCGTCACTCTGTAGCTCGCTCGTTGCTAATCCCCTTTTTGCTGTTGGCCACGCGGGCTGGGGGGCCAATGGCCGCGCGACCCTTTCTGGGCCCACGACCAAGCCTCTTTCTGCTGCGCGTCGCTGGCGGTGCCCCCGGACCCAACGCGCGCCTGGCCGCCGCGAGTGCCGCGCTCTTTCAACGCCCGCTTTAAGACACGCCGGGGGACTGTCCGAGCCCCCCGGTTGACTGGGCCTAGAAGTTTTTTCTGAGCCGCCGTCCGGGCTTTCAGTTTCCTCGTTTTCAAAGCCCCGCTGTTCGCGCCCCAGGTTTTCTTCCCGCCAAGTCCGCCGCTCTGGAGGAAAGGTCAGATCCGAAGTTCCCTTGGCACACAAGCTGTGGCGCGCAGCACCAGAACGCGTTGCGGACCAACTCTGGCGTGCGCTGCCACGACACCATGGCGTTATCCACCAAGAGCCCCTTCTCGACCATCTTATCTCTCCAGAAACCCACCACTGTCTCGTCGAAGCGCAACACGTACGCGTGGGCCTGGTAAACACACCCAGCATGCTGAAGACCCCGGACTCCGCAGACACCATGAGGGGGCGTCCTGGCCCCTTGACTGGCAAACCACCTCAGTATAGCACGACCCATGAGGGGAACCGACTGCTCAGAGAGTCCAAGGCGATCTGTGCTTGTCTCCGAACGTCTTTCGCGCTGAGCTCTAAATGGCAGTCGTCCTCCATTACGATCGTTGCATCTATACCACGGTCCTCCATCAACTGCCACACTTTCAAATCAGACAAGTTACAACCGAGAAGCCTCCTTGCATCCCAGGGGTCATTGGCCTTAGCCTTGGGAGGTAATCGTTGGAGCTGAGACTGTCGACTATCTTCATCCGAGGTCCAAGTTAATTGAAATAGCTTCTGCTTGGGCTTGGTCAGCCGATAACGGCCAGCGCATTGTGATCATGAGGCTTTGCCATCAACTGCTTTGACCAACTCTACATTTGATAGCCCAAGAGACGATGTGATCTGCTTCGGGTTCTCTTTTTCGATCTTCTCGACGGTCCAAGCCAATCGCAAAAACAGGAACCTTACTGAAGTTCATCCTGCTTTGTAGAGATATAAAGGAAATACAAACAGCAAAGATCAGCACAATGTTA